ACACTTGGGTTGAGATCTAGGTGGGTTTAGGCTCTAGGGTCAGGGTTTCGCGGCGCTTCCACCAAGAGAAAGAGCTTTGAACAAGAGGCTCGTCGGCTGCCGAGCCGTGCCGAGCAGTCTGACTGCAAAAAAGACCCACTGGACACTTGGGTTGAATCTAGGTGGTTTAGGCTCAAGGGTTCAGGGTTTCGCGGCGCTTCCACCAAGAAGCAAGACTTTGGAAAACAGCTGACTCTGGCGCTCAGATTCGCATCAGATCTCGTTCGACACATCCTTGCCAGACGTCAACCCTAAACCCACAAAACCCATACTGGCACCCTAACTGTCTGAATGAGTCTGGGTTCCCAAAAGGTTTAGGGTCTACCTGAAGGCTCATGGGTAGTTCTAAGTAGGGTTATAAGTACCCGAAGGTTTCAAGAAAAGTTACCACATTCAACCCATGAACCTCAAAGTTTAGTAGGGTATTGGATGTAGGAGCTGCCGGGTACGGGTGTTGCCCAAATTCAGTCTGGCGACAAGCAAGAGAACCAGGAGGCCGCTCGAAAGTGGACTGACCAGTGCGAACATTATAATAATAATACAAAGATGGGATTGAACCTTGGCTGAGTTGAAAAAAATAATCGCACGCTGAGACTTTGTTTCCCAACAACCTCCAATGCTAATGCACATCGAGATGCGCGACATCACTTTGCGCCACTCAGTCTGCGCAGCGCCATGCAACCATTGCATGTCTCCGACCATGATTGCTTTGGTGGAAGCTGGCAAGTCCTTGCCAATGGGACACCCGAAATGTTTGATTTGTTTTTTTCTCCACTTTCGGTGTTGGGTTGCTACATTTTGAATTCAACTCTTCTCTTCGCCCGGCCTACTCCTCGCCTATACCTGGAATGCCTAACACCAGAGTCTCCCTGGAGTGCCCAATGCCAGAGTCTCCCTCGCCAGAGTCTCCCTGGAATGCCCAACGCCAGATTCTCCCTGGAGTGCCCAACGCAGAGCCTGGAGCGCTCAGCCCCAGAGTGTGCCTGGAGTGCCCAACCCTAGAGTGCCTGTGGAGCGCCCAACCCCAGTTGCAAGCACGTACAAAGACAGCATATTTGAATCAATGTGTCTTTATTCGAAATAAAATGATTGTTTTCGGTCGCCACACTGCTGACCAGCGACGTTCAGGTCCACGGCCACGGCCTTCTGGCGCTTTGCCTCTGGCTCTGCAGATTCGTCCTGGGACTGCCAGCGATGCCAGGATTCCCAATCCTGATGGCAATTGTTTGGAAGGGATTGGGTTTGTATATCACCTCCCTAATAATGAAGCTTGGGGAGGAGAGGGTCGCTGTCAATCCCATTTATTTTCTGGGTCCTCCCGGGCTTATTTTCCTACAGTCTGTAGTAGGCATGACTGCTTTGGCAGGACAGTAGCGCTCTTGTCCCTGCTTCTCCGGGAAGCTGATTGTCTTTGTGACAAGTGGTATAGGCGCGAAAGATCGATTCTGTATATCTAGAAAATCATATGGGGCCAAGCAATAGTGCATCACAACACGAAGCACAAACCGAGGATCTGCGCAAGTGCGCTGTTATAGCCCTGGCAACTTGGGCATAGCACGCAGCAACAAGCTGCCCCCTCCACCTCCCTGAACCGAGTGAGAAATATGCAAACCAGTTTTGCCTGACACCTATGGTTTGCGCTCCCTGCTGACCAGCGACGTTCAAGTTCACGGCCACGGCCTTCTGGCGCTTTGCCTCTGGCTCGGCAGATTCGTACTGGGACTGCCAGCGATGCCAGGATTCCCAATCCTGATGGCAGTTGTTTGGAAGGGATTGGGTTTGTATATCACCTCCCTAATAATGAAGCTTGGGGGGGAGAGGGTCGCTGTCAATCCCATTTATTTTCTGGGTCCTCCCGGGCTTATTTTCCTACAGTCTGTAGTAGGCATGGCTGCTTTGGCAGGACAGTAGCGCTCTTGTCCCTGCTTCTCCGGGAAGCTGATTGTCTTTGTGACAAGTGGTATAGGCGCGAAAGATCGATTCTGTATATCTAGAAAATCATATGGGGCCAAGCAATAGTGCATCACAACACGAAGCACAAACCGAGGATCTCCGCAAGTGCGCTGTTATAGCCCTGGCAACTTGGGCATAGCACGCAGCAACAAGCTGCCCCCTCCACCTCCCTGAACCGAGTGAGAAATATGCAAACCCGTTTTGCCTGACACCTATGGTTTGCGCTCCTCGCTCTGCTGCCATGCGCTCATGCGCGCGGCGCGGCGCTGCTTTCGACTCTCCTGAACACGAAAAGGGGTTCGATGTGTAATCTCCGGCTCAGGCCTTGTGGTATAGCACAGAACCTGCTCATTGCGCTGAAACAATGGTTAGGTTGGTGAATGTTCACTGCCACGCCTTCGGCATGGCGTGGCACAGAGCAGTATAGCGCCGAGGAGCTGAAAAACTTGAGACGAAAAAACGTCTGCGCAAGCCGTGGGCAGCGCTGCAACACTCTAGGAAGTCTATG